GGAAGGAAGGAAGAAAAAGAAAGAAATACAAACAGCTCCTGTTTGATTCTCCCTGTATACAGCTTTTCATTTTTCCTAGGTGTTAGCATTCAGACCCACTTCTTGGAACCCTGGCCAATAAGCAGATAATACCCTGGCCCACCTGCTCAGCATACTGACGACATCTTAGGTAAAGCTCACTTTAAGAGAAAACTCCTCCACCTCTCTATTTCCACAAGGTGTGTGCATCTTCTCTCTCTCTTCCCCTCCCTCCCTCCCCTTTCTTCTTCCCTCCCTTCTCCCCAATAAACTTTCCACGTGGATGCTTTGTCTGCATGGTGTGACTAACTTTCCATCCATCACGCCACGCCACAGTGGCCGCCTCGTCTACATGGCTGCATGGTGTGTCTCCCTCACCCACCGGCGCACCTTGGCCCAACCCACCAAGGCCTCCCGGGTGCCCTATCACAACACTAGGTGTAGCATGAATCTTAAAAGGTCTTATTAATTAAATCAAACCTGAGCCAGGTATTTGGGGTAAATGCTGGAAGGTCAGAGAACTAGAACAAGCCACAGCCACCTCACCTCGCCAGTTCCTCAGCTGGTCTTATTTCCTCAGACTGGAAGCTTCTGTGTCCTCATCCCAATGGGTCTCAGCTGAACTGTGCTGCTAGAAGCCTGAAAGCTTAACCAGGCCAAATGCTTAACCAGGCCAAATGCTGCTAGTTTCTGGTCCTCACACCTTATATACCTTTCTGCTTTCTATCAGCACTCCCTGGGATTAAAGGCTCGCTTTCTGGGATTAAAGGCCTGTGTCACCATGCCTGGCCGTTTCCAATGTGGCCTTGAACTCAGAGATCCAGAGGGATTTCTACCTCTGGAGTGCTAGGTTTAAAGGTGTGAGTACCACCATTTTCTAGCCTTTGTATCTAGTGGCTGTTCTGTCTCTGACCCCAGATAAGTTTATTAGGGTGCACAGTGTTTTGGGGAACACAATATCACCACAACTAGGATCCAGGCAAATTTAATAAGTCTCTTGACGGAACCAATGTGGGCAAGCGGCCTTTTGGTTTCAGGGAGGCAGTGCACGCCCAGGCTCTAAGAGTTGCCTTTGTGTGATTTCTCAAGGACACCCTCCAGATTAATTTTATTCCCTTGTAAGTGAGAATCAGGAGCAACTATTTTGTACTATCATTTTCTTGAAGCTTCAAAAGGCTCTAATATGTGCTTAGCAATCACCAGCGCCCCGGAAGCATGGCCACTCTCACTACTCCTACTGCTTTATACTCAATGAGAAGTTAGCTTCAGGATTCAAACAGGTGAGAAAAACTCCTGCTTGGCTTCAACCTTCTGATTGAGCTGGTGTTCCTGTCTTTGAATAGCAGCAGGTGTTTGATGATCTGAGAACAGTCATCAATAAAGTGGGTAGAAAGAAGGAATTCACTCATGAAGCAAGTCCAGTTTTAGATAAGAAAATGCTGTGAAAGAAGCGGAAAGACTCAGGAGAAAGTTAAATCTTGACATACAACATGGAAACAAATTTACAGATCGGGCCCCCAAGCTGCGGCAAGCCTCTGTGCTTTAGCAACTAGCAGTGTTTTTTTGCTGTGTGTCTGGTACCAGGCTCAGAATTTTGCCAGTATTGGGTCCTTTCACCTTTATAATAATTCACTGGTTTGCACATCGAAGAAACTGAAGCAGACAGCATGAAATAATTAGCCGGAGTCATGAGAACAAACAGCAGAGCTGTGCTTGGAAGATGCCAGGTACACAGACAGGAGACCGACTGGTAAGTGGCAGTTAGTTAGCTCCCCACCCCTCCCTTGCCCTGCTCCTGCCCCTGGGCACCTTCTTTCTTTTCATACCCACTCTCTCCTAACCCCTTGTCCTCTCTCCTCTCTTCCTTCTCTCCCTCAGGTTCTTGTCTTTTCACCCCCTCCTTTCTCTCTTGGTTCCTTTTTCTTTCTCTCCTCTCTCACCCTTCTCTCTTCTCCTCATCTTTCCCATCCCTCCCTCCGTCCCTCCGTCCGTCCGTCCCTCCCTCCCTCCCTTCCTCCCTCCCACTTTTGTGTTCTTTTTCCTTTTCCTTCTCCTCTCTCTTCTCTTCTCTTCTCTTCTCCTCTTCTCTTCTCTTCTCTCTCTGTCTCTTTTTCTGTGTCTTCACTCTCTTCTCCCCTTTCCTCCTTTTCTCCTTATTCTCCCTTCTGATCCTCTCTCTCCTCCTCTCCTTCATTCCTCTCCAGTCATCCTCTCCTCTCGCCCTTTCCTAGGCTCTCCCTTCCTCTCCCTTCTCCCATCATCCATCCAACATGCGCAGACCACTTAGGAGAGCAAAGCCGAAGAAGATACTGCATTATTTCCTTTCGCAGTAGGATGCTCATGTTCTCGCTCATATTCTGATAAGAACCAAAGATCACAAAACTGTCTCTGAGCACAGGACACAGAATGGATTACTTTTGCTCTCCTTTTTCTTTCTTTGCTGAGAGCTAAGTTTCTAGGCAGCTGCTTGATAGCTTTATTATTCCATTTTAGCCTGGTTCTCTGACAGCATGAATTAAGATTTTCTAATAATTGACTCAAGCAAGCAGCTTATACAAAGACAATGTAAAAACGGGCTGGGGACCTTAACATACTGCAACCACAGAGCCAAGTGATTCCTTTTGAAAATGTCTGCTTCCTGAAACATAATATTCTTTACATTAAAAAAAAAAGCTGGTGAGAAAATTCAATTTTGTCTCTAAACAACTTCTGACCTCTAATTCTCCTTTGTCTTGGCTCCTTGGCAAAATAATAAACACATTCTCTTTCTCTAAAATATTCTTTGTCAACAAGTCTGACACCTTGTATAGGACAAAATACATTGTGTGTGTGTGTGTGTGTGTGTGTGTGTGTGTGTGTGTGTGTGTACTATGATAAATTATACTCTCCGAGATACACAATCCAGAATACTTGTCACTACTAGAAATGAGAAAAGACAGTTTCAGTGTAAATGAAAGAAAATGTCATTAAATAGCATGACTCAAGAGCTATGTTATTTATTTTCCTTCTTTATTTTCCTAAAAAATTAAATATTCATCTAAATACTGACTCACAATTATTTTTGGAGGCAACTATCATAAAACCCTAGTGTCAGAGACTCATCCTGAAACAGCAATGGTCACCAAGTGCCAGCCATTAACATGACTGAATTTGCATTAATGTGGTAATTATCCCAAACTGTCCATTTCCAATATAATCTATTCTCCCAACAGCATGAATTAGGGACATTTGTGAAACCAGAGTCAACTCACCAGTTTAGTTACCCATCTACCTCCTCACCAAAGAACAAGACCAAGAGGAAGGGGGGAGGCACTGTGATGACAACAGCTAATATCCATCCAAACACTTCTTCCAGGCATCATTCAAGTGCTTTACATATACAACCTTATCACTGCTTTCACTACTGTCTTAGTTTATTCCCACTGTTGTGGTAAAATATCCCAACAAAGGCAATTTAAGAAAAAACAAAGGGGGAGCATATTTTAGCTAACAATTTCAGGTTACAGTCCATCATTGAGAGGAAGGCACAGCACCGGGAGCTCAAGACAGCCTGTCATGTCACGTCCACAGTCCAGAGCAGAGCAGACATGAATGCAGGCATACCCTGCAGATACTCTGATCATCTTTGCAACTCTTCTAGAGGCTAGGACCCCAAACTAGGGAATGGTACCACCTACAGCAGACTGGGGCTTCCCACATCAGTTAATGTTGTCAAGACAATGCCCCAAAGACATGCCCATAGACTAAGCTAACCTAGGAAATTCCTCAAAGTGACTCCTCTCCGCCGTGACCCTGGGTTTGTCAAGTTCATGATCGAAACTGACCATCACACTCACTCTACAAAATGTAGACTATTATTGATGCCATCTCACAGAGGATAAAGGTAGAAACATGCAGACATGCTCTTCATTGGTCAAAGTCACGTAGCTAGAGTTGAAATTCAAACCCAGGGAGTTCATTCTCCAGTCTCGCAACTTCAGTAACATTGACAGTAAGGTTAGGCAGTTCCACTCTGGAGGCCTTTGTGAGGGACGAAGAGTGTTTACCTGTTGCTAGCAGCATCCCAGCTCTGCCCACTCCACTCCAGCAGCAGCTTCTGTGCCCGCCTCCTTTCCCCGGTGGTCTCTAGACTACGTCAAAGTCCACTGGGAGGCTGAATCCTAACCCCAGCCCATTTGGAAACAACTATTCTCTCTGTTTCTCATGCTGACCATTCAGTCTCACCTCATTAGACAACTTTCCTAAATACTTAGATGGCTATAATATATTTTATTGAACATTAATTTAATACACACCTATACACTAATTTTGATTATTTTAGCTGGAAACAATGAAGCTCTTGGAAATCTGCCTTTAGTATATGTAATCATGAAGTTAAACTGGGTCGATACAGTCACAAGCAGGAGGTGATTTAAAGTACCAAGACTGTCACTGCTACTGTTTCAATAACATCACCACTTTTTACCCAGCATACTTCAGAAAATGAAATAAAGGAAAACTGTATCAGTAACGAATTTCTACCATAAAATTTTATTTAGTTAATGTAAACAGATGTAGTCTGTCAACAAACAATTAAAATGTAATTACCTGCATATATATAAATATAAATATTTATAAATAAAATTATTCAAAAAAATTAAGATCCAGAATTATATTATTTTTCTAAACTATCTAACAGGTTAAAATTTGCTGGCACCTTGGTTTTGCTACTCTTCTTTTCTTTTTAAATCTATATTTAAACATATATTAAAAGCATGTGTTCTGCTATTTTTACTTACAGTATCATGCAAATATTTAAGTGATTACTGCTACGTTAGCTACTTTAGGAAAAATATAAAAATTGAGGTCAGAACTCCTGATGGAATTACTTTAGCAACAATTTGTACACACACACAAAAGTCCAGAGAATAAGAAACAGTCCAGAGAAACTAGCACAGTATCTTATACAGTCCACATAAAACAAGATACACACATACACCAAGTTAAGGAATATAGTGCAATTTATTTATTACACATGTTTTATATAAGCAATTTGCCACAAATTTTACATTCTGTGGGTCCATATGAAAAATCACAGTATACACAGACTAGATGCAAAATACATCATATGAAAGCATCCTAGAAATGTTTATGTTGTCACAACTCTTACACTATTTCCAGAACACTCAACTTTTTGGGGAAAACATGGTATAATTTTGACCAAAAAAAAAAAAACATTTTGTACGTGTGATATTTACTATTAATTCCATCTCACCAAAAAATATAATTTCCTACAAATTCTACAAAATATTAAATTACTAGATTTCTGTTTATGCATATCAAGAAAATTTTCTATCTCAGTAAGAACATAATTAAACACATATCTGACTAAGTAAATCCCAAGATAGACAGTGGATTTTGTTGGTTATATAAACAGTGTGTTCTTCCTTGGGGTGCAATTTGAAAGTAATACCTTTTTATAACCTATTTGTGTATCATAGTTGTGGTTTAAAGACAGAGTATCACAACAAAATGACCTAAAACACACACATTATCACGGCTACTACCAGATCAAACACTTCAGGAATGCATACCCACTACGTCTCCCTATGTGAACAAAATCAACATCCTGGATAAATTCTAAGTGTTCATTTTTCTTCATTTAGGGGCTTTTTCAGTTGGTCTTGTGCTTTCTCTTCATTCTTCTTTTTAACATCTGCAAAAGAAAATAATTTCCCATTCATATGCAAAATATGTTGAAGTAGGTTTTATATTTAGAGTGAAGGAGTTGTCTTTCCGCTTTGTCTACCTAAATAGTTTCCATCCTGACTAGGTTATATTTTGCCCTCCACACAGATATGAATCTGCACAAAGAGGACATATTTGAGTAGTTTCTACATTTTTCTCCTAGTCATCTTTCTTCCTGATCTATAGTTACTACGTGCCAGGCACACTCTTAAGATGTCATTATACTCTCTATCAACAGGGTAGCAAACTACAGTAGAAGCAGGTTAAATGACTTGTGGAAAGTCACAGAGCTAGTGAAAGTCACAACTTGAACCTAGATCAAATGGCTACATGGGCCCTCAATCATTTACCTATTCTGGGACACACTTTCTATGTATTCTTTATATTTTCTATTTCCTTTGCTTCTTAGAGACAACCTTATATTCTACCCTTCAGAAAAAGTGAAATCAATGCCATCTCCTTCCTCTTCCTGCAACTAAAAGTCAAAACTCTCCTGTTATTTGAGATTATTCTTTCTGCCCCTGTTCCCATAATAATGGAAGGTGTACTTCTCAGGAATGGCTCATAGTTTGTTATCACTCACTGGGAAATGAAAGTGCAGCGACCACTAATAAAGACTTTGAGACAGGAAGAGGAGACATTTGCAACTACAACCCTCTGTGAGTGTAGGGCCCCATTCACTGCCCTGGATGTACACCATTGCTGTTGGCCCTGATGATGCTCCTGATGCCAAAGTCTAATGCCCTCGTGGTTCCAACTCCTGACAGTTTCTGACTCATCAAGAAACTAACTCCAGTGACAATTCTCTGCTCTTTATTTTATCAAGCTTCCCCTTTTCCTGATTCTTCATTTCAAATCACTACCAACTTTAAACTCTCCTTCTCCTCCCCTACTCCTCTTTGTCCTCCTCCTTGAAACAGGATCTCCCCATGTAGACTAGGCTAGCCTCAAACTCACAGAGATTTATCTACCCTTGCCTTCCAAGTGATGTGATTAAAGACATGCAGTTCAGTTGCAATACTGTTCTTCCTTTCATCTCTTGAAACATTCTATATTTGACTGTCTTCATTTAAATAAAATTATTTAAGTTTCAATCATTTCCTCAAAAATTCTCCTAACAAAACCATCCATAAAACCTTTGAAGGTAAGTCTGATAGGGTATATTTAGGCCTTTTAATTTGTAAAATACCTGTTAACCAATCTTAGCTATATAATGAGTTCCAGGCCAGCGTGAGCTACAATGTGAGGCCTCCATTAAAAAGTAAAGGTATTTACTAAGCTAAGCACATGAAGTAATTCTCAAGTACCACCCAGTGAGTGATATGAAATGGGCAATAAACAAAACATTTGAAGTGTGTGGTATGTGAGAAGTGAACAATAAATAGTCAGGAGGTTATGAAATCAGGAGTAGACAATAGAAACTGTTAAGATGTCTCCAGGCCCAGCGTTTATAAACCAGTAGAGAATTGGCTGAAAATAAACACCCGCAAAGGAGGCATTTTAGTAAAGACCTGCAAAGGCGAGGTAGTGTGCTGTTCATATCACATGGAGAAAAGAATCCTAAATGAGACAATAGTAAAGTCAAAGGCAGCCAGATGAAATGGACAAGGGAAAGAAAAGAGGAAACATGACATGGAATCCAAGAAGCACCAAGACTTTGTATATGTGGTGGGTGGAAAAAATGGCAGATTTCTGGGCCAATGTTGAAAGTGCAGCTAACACTATTCTCTAAAGGATGAGATGCAAAATGTGCAAAATAGAAGGGGGATGAGGATGAGGCTAACATTTTTGGTTTCAGCAACTGAAGTTGAAAAATAGCTAACCGTCAAGATTGGAAGGACACGGGGAGAGCAGGTTTCAGAAGGAAAATCCAAAGTTTCCTCTTATGCTCATAAACTTGATATTACCATTGGGTGGATACCCTAGCGATGATGTCAGCCGATAGTTCCTTCTATGAGAGCAAACTCTAAGGATCTCCAGACTGAGATCCAAAACAGCTAATCATCATGTCGACTTGAGTGGATTTAGAATGACCTGGGAGACACACCTCTAAACACATGTGTGAGGGCAGTTCCAAAGAGGCTAGACTCAGTGAGTGAGACCCTGAATATGGGCAGTGCCATCACATAGGATCCCAGACGGAATAAAAAAGTGAACCAGAAAAGCTAGCTGAGCGCCAGCATTCACTTCTTTCTGATTCCTAACTGCAAAGACAATGGAACAGCCTCCCCACAGTCCTTTCTGTCTTCCTGCTGTGACAAAACTATACATCCTTTCAACACTGAGCCAAAGTGAACCCTTCCTCTTTAGTTGGATTTCCTCAGGCATTTGGCCATAGCCATAAGAGACTTCAGAAAACGGAACTGCAGTGCTAAACCTGGTTGAATGCTTCATAGGCCTTTACAACCAGCTTTTGGGAGGAAGAGCTCCAGGCTAGGGAAAAGCCTTAAAATGTTAAAAAGAAGTGCTTAACAGGATATTCTGGTGGGGATGTGGAAGACCAGAATAGCAAGACACGTGAATACAGGAGGTGTGTCTTATGAGGTGTCAGAGAGGAAGCAAGGATGCTATCAAGAATTAGACTAGAAGTCATCATCTAATGCTCTAGTGAAGTCTCTGCCGATGTCCTGAGAGCTTGAGTGAGACTGAACTGCAAAGTAATTGACTACCATGTTTGGAGGAGGAAATGTCAAGGTAGCAAGTGTTGAGGCTATGTCATGGCTACTGCTTCTTGTTCTTTTGCGTGCTTACAGTGAGAGCGAGCTGCCACTGGAGCAGAAAGAAGCAAACATTTACAGCTTGACAAAGAAGGGGAAACATTTAAAGCTGCAGGTCAGCCAAGTGTGGAGAAAGCAGCTGTAACTGTTAAAGAGATTGGGGGATGGATGGGAAAACTCATATTTTGTACTGGGTAGGAGGAAAGATGCCAGAGGGCAATGCCTTAGTCTTTCAAGCCTCAGGTTTGTAAAAATGAAAATTCTTTTGAGTAGGGTGGTACTCAAATGTGAAGCCTATGAAGAGGTTCTTTGCTAAAAATTATTCATCAAAGGAAGAGTTTCCCCAGGCTCAGCTACCTAGTTCCACAAAGACCTTATACAGTTGCTCTATAACAGTGGTTCTCAACCTTCCTAACACTGCAACCCTGTAATACAATTCCTTATGTTATGAATTAGGGCTATGGTTACAATTTAAAACTTACATGTTTGGGTGTCAAGTTGATAAAGGGTAGACATGTAATGGTTAATATTCATTATCAACTTAGCTAGATTTAGAATCACCCAGGAGGTATCCTAGCGGGTGTACCTGTGAGGACATTTTGAGAAGGTTTTAAGTGAGATGGGAAAGCCCAATCTGAATGTAGGCAGCACCATCCAGTCAGCTAGAGGCCTGCTAAATGAAAAGGGGGAAAAAGAGAAAGAGAGCTGAGAACCAGCATTCATCTCTCTACTTCTTTACAATAGATACAATTTGACCAGGTACTGCACACTCCTATCATGACCCCCATGATAAGAATTACCATCCTAACCTGTGAGTGAAATTAAACCCTTCCATGACAGCATACATAAATGATCCTAAAAATTCTACTAGGAAACTCCTATAGCTGACAAACACTTTCAGCTAAGTAGCTGAATACACAATTAAATTACAAAAATCAGTAGCCATCCTATATACAAATGACAAATGGACTGAGAATGAAGTCAGGTAAACAATATCTTTCATAATAGATTCAAATAATATAAATTATCTTGGGGTAATTCTAACCAACTAAGTGAAAGACTTGAATGATAAATACTTTAAGACACTGAAGAAAGAAACTGGATGGAAAAATGGAAAGATGGAAAAATCTCCCATGCATATGGATCAGTAGGATTAACATAGTAAAAATGGTCATCCTACCAGAAGCAATCTACATATTGAGTCAAAATCTCAACACAATACTTCACAAATCTTAAATGGAAAATTTTCAGCTCTATATGGAAACACAAAGAACCCAGGATCGCTAAAACAGTTCTGACAAATAAAAGAACTGCTGGAGGTACCATAAACCCCAACCTCAAATTGTACTACAGAGGTAAAGTAATAAAAAAAAAAAAGAATAGTATTGGCATAAAACAGTTACACTGATCAGTGGAATCAAAATGAAGAGCTAAACATAAATCCAAATAACTATAGACACATGATTTTTGATAAGGCAGAAATACATATTGTAGAAAAGACAACATCTTCAAAAAATGATGCTGGTCAAACTTCATGGCTATATGTAGAAAAATTCAAATAGATTCATACCTATAACCTTACATGAAACTCAATTCCAAATGGATCAAAATCCTCAGGCACTAAGAAAATCAATAAATAAATGGGATGACCTTATAAAACTGAGAAGCTTCTGTACAGCAAAGGATACCATCATTTGGACAGAGCAGTAGCATACAGAATGGAAAAGAATTTTACCAACTACACATCTGATAAAGGACTAATATCCAAAGTAAATAAAGAATTCAAAAAACAAGATATCAAAAAAACAAATAACCCAGTTAAAAATGGAGCACAGATCTAAACAGAGAATATTCAAAAGAGCAAACTCAAATGGCTGAGAAACACTTAAAAAAATTCATCATCAAAGAAGTGCAAATCAAAACTACTTTGAGGTTTCATCTTATACCTATCAAAATGGCTAAGATCAATAAAACAAGTGACAGCTCATGCTGGTGATGAGGATTTGGAGTAAAGGGAACACTCATCCATTGCTGGTGGTATTACAAATTCATACCACCGCTATGGAAAGCAGGAAGATGGGAATCAATCTACCTCAAGATCAAGGTATGTCACTCTTGGGCACGTACTCAATGGATTCTTTATCCTACCACAGAGACACTTGTTCAACCATGTTCATTGCTGCTCTATTCATAATAATTGGAAATAACACAGATGTACCTCTACAAATACATGGATAAAGAAAATGTGATATATTTACACAATGGAATATTACTCAGACATTTAAAAAACGAAATCATAAATTTGTAAGTAAGTGGGTGGAACTTAGAATAAATCATCCTGATTGAGGTAATTCAGACCCTAAAAAGAAAAATTTGGTATGTATTCACTTACATGTAGCTGTTAAGTCAACAATAAGCAAGCTACAACCCTTATAACCAACAGAGGTTAGGTATAGAATAAGGGACTAGCAGGGAGGATTAGATCACCCTAGGAAGGAGAAATAGAATAGATAACTATGGATGGATATCTGAGACTAGAACAAGAGGAACAAATGGGGCAGGGGAGAGAAAAGGGAGTGAGGGAGGAAATATGGATAAGGACAGCTAAAATTAATGACTGTTTGAGGGGTTATATGAAATCTAATAGAGTAGAAGTACTAAAACATATATATGAAGGCAATCTAAATTAAACAGCCAAATAATGGGGGAGACCCAACTAGCTATCTCTTGTTACCAAATGAAGCTTCCAGTCCCAGAATTGGGTTACATCTGATTGAGCTTTTGGTCAGAAAGATCCCAAGGAAACCCCCCAAGCAACCTAGGCTGTTAGTGAGGCTATAGGTTACTCTCCAAAAAACTGATGGCAGGGCCCCATTGCTAAAGCAACACCTAAGCAACTCATTGAACATGGAGATATCAAGCTGGTGCCTACATAGAGCCTTTACTCCTTCATCCCGGCATCTTTGTACAGGAAGCTACTTTGCACACTACCAAATGACAAACATAAACACCAACCCAGCCACAAACCCTCTGATCTACAATAGTGTCTTGCCTGCAAGATATGCTAGTGCAATGGTGGCACAAAGACTCTGGAGTAACCAACCAATGTCTGATTTGGCTGAAGGCCCACTCCGTGAGATGGAACCCATACCTGACAACGCTTGGGTGACATAGAACCTGAGACTAGATAGCCCAGGGACCTAGGATAAAACTAAATACTATTGTTCTAAAAAAAAAAAAAAATGTAGCAATAAGATGATTCCTAATGATGTTCTGCTAGACTCAGAGATCAGGGCCTTGCTCAGCCATAATCAGAGAAGCTTTCTCCTGTGTAGCAGATGAGAACAAATACGGAGACCCCACAGCCAGACATTCAGAGAGTAAGAGACCTTGGAACATTCAGTCCTAAATCGATGGCATCCATCAAATCCCTCCCCTCAGGGATCTGGAAATCCTGCAAAAAAAAAAAGGCAGGGGAGACAGAAAGAGTGTAAGAGCCAAAGGGGATGTAGGACACAAAGAAAACAAGCTCTCCAAACTCAACAGGATAGATGCTGCACATATGAATTCACAGAGACTGAGGAAACATGCAGAGAACCTGCATGGGTCTGCACTAGTTGGCGTCCTTGTGCTGATAGGACAAGTGGACCTATGCCCCCATCTTTAGGGTAGAAGCAATTTCCAAATGATAACCACTTGCAAATGAAAATTTAGTTTACTCCAAGGGAGTCTCACTGGGGAAATAAACCATTCAATTGTAGGATGTATGCCCAACAGCAGATGGCCAACAGAAAATGAACTCAAAAACTCAAAGTTATCTTTGGAGGTTCCTTGTCCCATAATGTCATGTCAGAACTTTTCCTTATTTTTTAATTTTTTTCCTTTTTTACTTTACACACACACACACACACACACACACACACACACACACACACACACACACACACACACATTTTTCCTCCTCTCTTTTAACCCTGCAGGTCTTTTGCATATGTATTGTGGTTTCCAGTTTAGTGTTTTTAAGAAATTCCTGAGTGTGTGAATGAGTGGGTCTAAGCTTCTTTATAGGTTTCTTGTGCCTTTTGTTGGGCTCTTTTCCTTCTTTTTGTTTTGTCCTATTCCAACATGCTTTTGCTTTATTATATCTTATTTTATTACTATCCCTTAGAAACCTGTTTGTTTTCTAATGAAAGAAATGAGGTGGATCTGAATGGGAGGGGACATGGGGAGGAACCAGGAGATGTAGAGGAAGGGAAAACTGTAATCAAGATACATCATGTGAGAAAAAAAAAAAAAACACCTATTTTCAATAAAAGAAAAAATTCTTCCTTAATATGGTTTTGTCAGTTAGTTGGTCATTGCAACAAGAAAAGTAACTAATATAAAATCTAAATCTATGTTTCAGAAGGATAGAAACTATACAATGAAATCAGATAGCATTAGAAGCAAAGAAACATTGACCAAGTTGTCAAAAGACTGTACTTCACACTTTCTATCCCATTGATTGATTGAGTGATTGAGGATATGAACAAAGTGATTGAGGATATGAACAAAGAGAAAGCCAAAGTGAAAAAGTCAGTGAGGAAAAAAGAAAGCCATGAGAGCAAAGTCTCCTGTGAATCAAAGGAAGAGACCTATTTGAGGGAAGATGTAGTAATCAATCATGGTAACATTTTACAGGGTCATGCTAGAGAAGGCCTGAGAATGGACCAACAACTATAGCCATGACAACACCACAGACTGGTGAGATGGGATGAAGTCTCACTAGGACTAGAGGAAAAGGGGGAAAAGAAAATTAGTAGTCAGAAGAGCAACGCATTGTCATGGTACTTTTCTACGAAACAGAAACAGGGAAACAGATAAGAGTTGCAAGAAAACTTAGGGCCTTAGCAGTCACAGTCTCAAATTTCACAAGATGTGGCCCTTGCTTATAGGTCCAAAGTTCTCTTCTTGTCTCTTCTTTTTACTCTTCTCTCCCCTTCCACCCACAGTGGCCAGCCTTTATTTCTAGACTACATCAGTCTGCTTTACCCCAAGGATGTTTATATTTCATTCTTAATTATGAATTCTCCTCCACCCCATCTTATAGCTGGATTACTGTTGTATGCAGGGAAGAGTTGCTGAGTTTTTATTGATTTTTAAGGATTCTAAAAATTGTGGTTTCTTTGAGGACTTCAGTCATGAGCCCTGCATCTGTATCACTCCTTTCTCCAATTCCTTCCTTCCTCATGCAAATTCATAACTTCTTTCTTACTTATTGTTGCATGCATATACATACATATGCACACTTCTATATATAACTTACTGAGTCTATTTACTTCTTCCCATATGTGCACATGTTCAATGCTGACCACTAGGGATTGGACAACTCATGTAGGAATAGGTTTGTCTCTGCAGGTAACCAATTCTCTCTTAGTAGGCCCTGACCTCCTGAAGCTCTTCATTTAGTGTGGGACCATGTGGAATTTCCCCTGTCTGCATTGGTGTATCAACTGGTCTCATCCTTATGCTAGTTTTCTTTGAGACAGAGTCTTACACTGCAGCCCAGGCTGTCCTGGAACTCACTGTGTATCCTAGGACATCATCAATCTCATAACAGTCCTCTTGCCTCAGCCTCATGAGATTCTGATTTCAGTGATGCCTTCTCTGACTTCTATTCTAATATAGTCACCCACGAACTCTCCACAAGGCACCCTATCTTGGTTTTCTGATAAAGCATATCATTGTTAGTCTATATATTTATTCCTTTAAAATCCAATACTCCTGTTGGACTGGAAGATTTGAGGCAGCAGGAGGTCACATCTGCCCTACTTACCACTGGGTTCCCTAGTATTCAGCAAGGTAGATGAAATAGCAATGATAGAAGCAAGACATTTTGTGACTGAAACATCATCTTCCATCACCTCTTCTTGATATGTGAGAAGGCTCGTTGTCTTTTTTAGGATTCTCAAACAGTAAGTGGTAAATTAAGACAGATAATGAACTAGTCATGAGCCACAATACTCAGCTCCAGTGCAATGGTTAATATTTATGATTACTTTTAATTAATTTTGTAGTGAAGATTGAAACTAGAATCCTAGCACATGACCCCACACATCCAATAGACACAACAGCAGTTTCTATGTTCATCCCTAGGACATCAAGATGAAATTATCTAGTTTCAGAAGGGCATAAAAATCTGCTTAGCCTTAAAACCTGAGAGCTTTTAGACAAGAAGAAAAGAGAACACTTAGAACTAGTTTAAAGGCTGCTCCAAAGGAAAAGATTAAAAGGAGAGACATGCCATGGGTTTTATTTCAGAGGATTAGGAGTGTTACCTTCCTTCATGGACAATGCCTCCAACTTCAGTGGAAGATCAGAGGATCCACCTGTGGCTGCTGGACTCTGGATGTCAGGTAAGGCATTGCGGCGGCCTGCCCTTGCTGAAGCTGCAAAGTTGCTGATCACAGACTCCACATCAGTCATCTCCGACGAATCTGTCCTCGTCACAGCATCTGTAGATAGAATGTGCACATAAGAAAATGAGCCCGTTCAGAGGTAAAGGGTCACCCCAGAGCCCGAGGGCTAGATCAAAATCACTACAGGTTTGAAGACCTGTCTCGGGTGGCACACTTACAGCATTTGTGCCTTGGCTCTAGGGTGCCCACGTGAACATTTGCTGAATAGAGCAGGAAGTACTTCTGTGAGCCAGATTGCTATAAATAACCCTGGAGCCCAAAGCACCACTTGAACGCTTGAGGGTGTAGTAGGCCTGGACTTTTGTTCTGCTTTTGAATCAGCCAAGCCAGGGCTTGGAAGCCAATGAAAACGGATTGGTATGGCCACTCCCAGAGTATTTGTTTGTGGTGCTTGTTTAGGCTGAAACCAAATCACTGTAATTGTGGGGAATAAACAAAGCATATTTCCCTTACTCTTTAGAAATAAATTCCACTTTATATCGAAGGCTCCCCCCACACCCCCCGCCCCGCTCCCGACGGTTGTAACTTCATTTGTTCTGATTCAGATAAAGTTTTCAATAGACCCATGCTTATGCTAGGCACTGTTTTCCTTGCCTTGGAGGAGACATAGTCATCACTAGCACCATCCCCATCGTCCTTTCACCTCCTAGTAATGACCTTTCTCTCACAATTCCTAAGAAATCATTCATTGTACGGGAAGTAGCAGTTATTACATCTTATAAAAAAATCATTCATTGTACAGGAGGTAGCGGTTATTACATATTATAAAAAATCTAAACTGACCGTCTTTCACATTTTTTTTTTCTTATAAAGTTTTCCTAGGAATTGATGTTGCACTGTAACACGGAAGCTGTGGCGGCAGAAGGGAGCATTTGTTGAGGAGGTATTATGCGTCCGGTTCCAGCAAGGCCTTGAGATGCTGAGGTATTGTATAAATGTGTGTCCATCTGCAGGCTGTGTATACTCAGAGGGACAACGGGAGGTATAAGTTTTCTGGAAGATCTCCTCAGAACAAAATGTGCCCAGTGTCCCCCAAAGGATGGAATTAATCCTTTTTTGGTATTTATGACAGTAAACTCTGGCCTGAGGAAAGCAAGCCAACCTTCTCATAGTAGTTGAAGGGTCACTCTCCTTGGACAAACAACTTTCACTCAGAAAATGCTAACAAGCAAAAAGGCGCATGCAGACACAATGTGTCTGATATTAGGAACACAACTCTTGTTGTCCATCACATACAAGAATTCATGTGGTGCCCGTGTGTCCCTCAGGAGTGTGGTGGCAGTCTGAAAGTGCCCCTAAAAGAGGCCTTCGATAGCTGTGCTAGTTAATCTCCTTTTACAAGTGTCATACGAGGCTTGCAGACACAATCTGGAAATTAGACTTTCAATGTCTGATATAAATTCGCCAAGTGTCTGGCATTGACAGCTGGGAGAAGCATCATGAACATTGGACTCTTAGTTCAAAAGGATCCACTTGATTACAGACTTGCAAGGTAGCAGTGGTCAATTCATTTAAATTTATAAGTCACAGTTTCCCTTCTGCATATCAGACATAACCATTAGCCTGTCTGATTTGCAGGACTCTCCTTGCGGAATGGAAAAGTGGTGAGATCAAGGGAAGATATCTGTTTCCATAAAACCATTGATGAGTGACTACTTGCATCATTGTCCATCTCTCACTGAATCATATTTTACCACCCTCCTGTGTACTCTCTTTAATCCTAGCAAGAAGATCCTGCTAGAGATCTCTTGAATTTTCTGAGAGAGAGACCAGCATTTCTTCACTAATATTAATAACAGATATTCTGTGTCTACCACCTCACTTAACCTCCCTATAATTCTATATTATATATTATAAAATGAGGGGGTATGGTCCTCATTTTATAGATGTAGCCACTGGGGCTGAGAGCTTCAGCGAGTGACTTAAAGTTGCATGACCACTAATCTAACATTGGAGAGAAGCTTAGTCTTGTTAACCCTGAGATCAAAATCACATGGATTATTAAGAGAAATTCTAGCCAGGCAGTGTTGGCGCATGCCTTTAATCCCAGTACTCAGGAGACAGAGCCAGGCGGATCTCTGTGAGTTTGAGGCCAGCCTGGTCTACAGAGTAAAATCCAAGACAAGAACCAAAACTACTCAGAGAAAACCTGTCTCGAAAAAACAACAATCAAAAAAGAGAAATTCTAAAGTCCCAGTGATATATGCAGCTAACTGTACATATACCTCCTTTAGATTCTGTTTTTCATTAATGTTGAACAGGGAATTCTGTCTGTTCAAAAATTTCCCTCTGCAACCCCCTCCCCCACTGTGTGTGTGTGTGTGTGTGTGTGTGTGTGTGTGTGTGTGTGTGTGTGTGTGTGTGTAAGAGAAATAGTGAGATACATACACAGGAATTCTTTATCTTAAATATTTGATAACTTGTGAGACCCTCCTACCCATGATAAATTTATTTCAGTTAAGGTGTCTTCTCTAAAGTTTGTGAAGAATTGAGTGATACCATCTTGAAACAGAGTTGGTTCTTGGGTCCTGACTCTATCCCCAGTCAGTTATCATTGTCTCAGACATAATGGCTATGATCAAACGCTCATCTACAAAAATCATCTCTCCATGTAACTGCAAGCACACCAAGATTGGCTTCATGGACCAGACTCATGAATTCTTGCTTGGTGGTCCATAGCCTTAAAGCTGAAGATAACAACAGAAATAAAAATATTAAGATACAAGGTGAGAAAAGTCAAAAGATTTTTTTTATCTTCTATCAAAAGAGAAATTCTAACTCTGTTTACATTTGTACATTGTATATAAATCTCAACGTTATTATTAAAAAAGTTTCTAAAAGGTAATTACAGCCTGTGGGAGCAGAATTCTGGGCCCTGAGTTAAGTTCTTTGCTATTTGGGAAGTTGTTCCTTTTGTCTTCACATTATTATCACCATGCAGAAATTTTCTAAACAAAAACATCACAAAACTATCTGAAAGTGTGTCAGCTGCATTCAGTAACAAGAATCTTAAGATGAGGTCAGAACTGGTCAACCAGGGAGAGCCAGCAGCCAGGCTCCCTTCTTTTGGGGCTCTGCTCTGCTGTTTCTCAGTTTACATTTGCATCAAGCCCCTCTCGGAGCCTGGTGCTGAGGCTAACCAAGATAGCCACCATTGACAGACCAGACAGCTCATCCTCTCAGCCCACAGAGCTTTGAGAGGATGGGCGTTCTACCGTGAAAAGCTGTCTATTTTCTGACCCAATATATTTGGTTTACAGAGAATTTTCAGGGCCTCTTGATTCAGTATTGGGCTCTTTGGATTTTCTGGCAATAGGCTCCCTGTAGCATTGGACAAAACTGGAAAGTCTATCAGGAAAATAATGTGAATTAACCATGGACATCATGCTATGAAGCTGATACTACCAGGTTAAGTAGAAAGTGTCAGATCTACTGAGAGAAGCATGTCCAAGCATGTCCACAGAACACTTTGAAATGTTAAAGTAATATGTCTTGTGGGAACAAAAAGAGGGAAAAAAATGAATATAACGTCATCTCAATTTTGTACAAAGAAAAAAAGACCCACTTGGGAACTGCAGATAGAACAAGGACCACATTAACCAGTGTTTAGTTCCTTTGACACATTTTGAAGTGTAATACTGAACATATATTACTTTTACAATGCAGAAAGATTGAAGAAAGACAAATTATGAGTCAGCAGACAATTCCAGTACAGAAAGGCTCTAGCAATAATATTTTGACCTATAAATAAACAACAAATCATAGTGAGTGCTCCTCCCTTCCCTAAATGTTCATTTTATTTCTCTTTGTTTTACTAGACAGTAGTGCTTTTTAGATTTTGTAAGGGATGGCATATGTAGAAAGAAGACAACTGCTCTCTTTTAATGCTCTGTGACATTTAAAAAACATAATTTATAGGAAGATGAGGTAACACAATGAAGGGAAATAAACTTAAGATAAGCTTCTAGGCATTTTAAATTTTGCAAGTTTAATTATATGAATGTTTGCTAACCAAGGTGGCTAACTCACTAGCAAAGCTTCCTCTTTCTCATTTGCAGAATTAACAGAGGACTCTACATGAGTTCTGCTTTGTAAGCTGTATGGCTTACAAGAGCTGGAACCATTTAAATATTTGGAGATTTCATCGAAGCCCTGTGTTTCCAGTGAGGTAATGCCATTTGTATTGTCCTGCACATACTTGATCTCAGTTGAAAATACAGTTTTTAGGATGCCTTAACAAAAGACTATAATACATGCATGTATACATGCACTCCAGCCTCTTTGCAATCTTCAAAATATGGAGATCAAAACATAAACACAAATGAAGACAGTCAGATGTTCAAGTTAAAGAGAGTAACAGATTTATACACACATATATATGTATACACCATACACATAAGTGCACATTATAATGTGTGTATGCACACATGTATAACCACTAAACTCTCAATGAACTTAAAAGAATTCGAGAAAATAGTGTGTTTCTTTGTTGAAAGTGTAGCTACAGACAGATATTACAACATCTCTCTCTACAGACCGGTCAGAGCATCCTCTGCTCACACTAGCCTTTCCACAGACTTCTTTACTTTAAGCTGAGAATGTAAGCAGGCTGATACTTTCCTTCTTTTCTCAGTTCCTGATCCCTGTCTGTCACCCCAGTTCCCACGGTGAAACCACTACTTATTCTGGGCATAACACTTCAAATAAACTTCTTATCTGCTAACTTAGTTCTTAGAGGGGTGGTATGAGTCAGACTGAAAAAATAACCCCCCACAACAACAATAGCAAACCAAACACTTAGAATAACAACAACAACAAAAAGAATTTTAAAAATTATGTTTTGAGAAGCAAAAGGAAAAAGAAAGATAGTGGTCTCAGCTGACATCTAGGGGCTAAAGACAACTCAGTGATAGAGTTAAGGGTTAGTATGTGCAAGGCTCTTCAGCAATAAACACTTTTCAAAAGGAAAAGAAAAAGAGGACAGGAGAGGAGGGGAGGAGAGGAGAGGGGAGGAGGAGAGGGGAGGGGAGGGAAGG